TGCATGGTCATTACAAGATATTTTAATTAACGCAATCATCATACTGTGGCATCCAAACTGTGCATAATAGCATGCTGACTATATGACAATAGGGTTGACTGAACTGTGAGAATTGGAATTCTACCAGTTTTTGAGATTTTTACCCCCATGCTAAATATTCTGCAGTATTTGTTTAAGCAAATTCAGTCCAAACCCATGAAAACACTTATGGTTTTAATCTTGTTTAGTTTAATTTCTGTAGAAGATTTTATGCCTCTCCCTGCTTCCACATACCTGAGATATTTCATTCCCTCTTTGAGATCTTTCCCCAGAGATTTGTAAATCCCTACACTCATCAGAGATCTTTCAGAGATCTAAATTCTGACTTTCCCCTCTCTATCAGAATACAGGGCTGGTTCTAGAGTCCCATTACTGGGATGGGGGTGGGGGCAAGTGGGAGTTTTTCAGCTTTTGGATGTTACTATTTAAAAAAACAAACAACATTCCAGGGGCTAGTTAGACTCCTGGAAAATACTGGATGATATGATTTAAAAAAATTAAAATGTAGCCATCGTGACAGTATTTTGTTGTTTTGTATAACTTATATAAAGGATGAAGACTCTCCAATCTCCTGTTCCACTGCTTAAAATGACATAACTTTATACATATTTTGGACTTTCTGATAATAATTTGGGGGCCCCTTGAAGATTTTTTGGGGAGGGGGAAAATATCTCCCCCATAATCTCCCCCCTCCCCCCAGTACCTAGCCTGCCAGGATATGTTTAAGGAAAATGGAGTGCAGGCCTTTTCATCTTAAAATCATATTACTTATTTGCAGAATAGGCTGCTGGAGACAAGATAATGCAGAATAGGCCTCTGGAGACATGAATTTTTCATTTGCACAACAGTTTAATGAAGTAACAGAGTGACAACAAGGAATGAGCTAGTGAGGAAAGGCAGTAGTAAATTCAGTGCACGTGTACAATTAATGGTTCAAAAATGACAGCCACCAGTGAACATTTAGAAAAGACAGATTGGATGCAGTGGACTGAATGATAGGAGTATGCAAGTCTGAGTTTCTCAGATATACCAAGAAAATAAGAAGAGTTAAATTTGTAGACAGAGTCTGGTAGCAAGACTAGGGTTGCCAGGCATCCGGTTTTGGACTGGAATGCCCGGTTGAAAAGGGATCATGGCAGCTCCGGTCAACACTGCTGACCGGGCTGTTAAAAGTCTGGTTGGTGGTGCAGCGGGGCTAAGGCAGGCTTCCTGGTTGGCCTGGCTCCGCACAGCTCCCGGAAGCAGCCGACATGTCCCTGCAGCCCCTAGGTGGAGGGGCAATCAGGGAAACGCCGCGTGCTGCCTCCGCTCCAGCACCAGCTCTGCAGCTTCCATTGGCTGGTAACCATGGCCAATGGGAGCTGCCAAGGCGGCACCTGCAGGCACAGGCAGCGCGCAGAGCCCCTGGCTTCTCCACATAGCCACAGAGACACGCCAGCCACTTCCAGGAGCTGCAGGGAGCCAAGACAGTCAGGGAGCCTGCCTTAGCCCCACTGCACTGTTGACTGGGAACTGCCTGAGGTAAGCACCGCCTGGCTGGAGCCTGTGTCCTGATCCCCCGACGCACACCAACTCCTGCCCCAGCCCTGCATCCCCTCGCACACCCTTACAGCCTCCCAGAGCCCACACTACAACTCCCTGCCCCAGCCCTGCACCCCCTCGCACACCCTTACAGCCTCCTAGAGCCCACACCCCTGCCCCAGCCCTGAGCCCCCATCCCAGAGCCTGCACCCCGCACATCCTCCCACACCCCAACTCCCTGCCTCAGTCCTAAGCTCCCTCTTGCACCCCAAACCTCTTATTCCTGGACCCACCCCAGAGCCTACACCCCCAGCCAGAGCCTGCACCCCCTCCTTCACCCCAACGCCCAGCCCTGAGCCTGCTCCCACACTCCAAACCTCTCGGCCCCAGCCCAGAGCCCCCTCCTGTACCTGAAAATCCTCATCCCCGGCCTCACCCCAGAGCCTGCACCCCCAGTGGAGTCCTCAACCCCCTCCTGCACCCCAACTCCATGCTCCAGCCCAGAGCCCCCTCTTGCACCCTGAAACCAACATTTCTGGCCCCACCCGGGAGCCTCCACCCTCAGCCGGAGCCCTCACCCACTCCCACACCCCAGCCCCAGCCCAGTGAGTGTGAGTGAGGGTGGGGGAGAGTGAGTGATGGCGGGGGCGGGGATGGAGTGAGTGGGGGCAGGGCCTTTGAGACGCGGCAGGGCAGGGACAGGGCGTTAGAGAAGGGGCTGGGCAGGGGTGTTTGGTTTTGTGCAATTATAAAGTTGGCAAACCTAAGCAGGACCTTGAGCATCAGAGACTGGAAGAAGCTACCAGTAGCTAAGAATATCATCAGATGGCATGCATGTTGCATAGAGCAGGTGCTCATCTCACAGAAGTAATGTACCAGCAGGTATTTAGGAGTTGGTCCACTCAGTGTTGAAAGTCAGTGGGGACTTAGGCTCCCAAGTCAGTTAGGCATTGCAACTTTGAGCAGAGTGATGCCTAAATACCTTTAAATATCTGGACGTAAGAAACTTTCATAAGCACCAGTGAGGTTACTCTTTCAGCTGTGTGAGATACTATCATTAATATAAGTGAGTTGTTCAGCTTTTTCATTATTTATTGTTACTGATTATTGAATGCTGGCGTAATGCAGTAGAAACATTTTCTAGAATATGTCTGTTTTCAGTTTTTATATCTATAAAATTTTTCCATCATTTTGAAATAAATTTGTTTCTAAAGTAATCAGTTCATGTGGTATTTTTTTTTTATTCTGTTTGTCTATGGTACAGTTAGGCAGTTGAGGATATATTTATTTTTTTAAAGGAATTTTTGAAGCCCAGAGTTTTTTTTCTAGTATGGCTACACATTTTCCATTAAAATATTTAATTTCTTGAAATATTGTATCTACCCTTCCTTCAGTCCTTCCTCTGAAAAATTAAAACACCAGGTCAGAAACTTTTAGCTGGGGTTCCAGGCATTACATTTTGAAATATTCTCTATAATAAATATTAACTATCATCCAGATCTGTCTAGTTGTGGGAATTAGTGGATGTTTTCCTAACTATTTGTTCTTCCCTTTCCACCCAAAGTATAATATGCTGAGGCTCTGTTGCTAGATCAGCAAGTAGGCATGGATGTAGGCACTATTCCTTTACCCTCTTTCAGAAATAAACATAGCAGATATTTATTCATATATTTGCCACTGGATCTAAATGTAAAACATTTTTCCATTTTCTGTATTTGGATCCAAATCTTTATTTTTCCAGACATCTGGTTACTCAAAAATACAACTCGGTGCAGTTGAAGGCTTTTTCTGTGTCAGTGACAATGTTGATTCTTGCCTTTTAGACTGGGCTAAGTAAGTACAATTTACATAAGTCTTAGGTTTCTTTTTGATACACATTGGGGTGATAACCTGTCTGATCCTGATGTATTAATATTTAATCACATATTCTTATCTGATTTCTAATTCTCTAGCAAATGTTATGCTCCTTTTAATTTGGAAATCAGTCCATAAACCTCGAATCATGAGTGAGAGGAATAGTAGCTTGCAGCAGGTGTCAGCTCTCTATCTTATATTGCAGGCAAGGAACCCCCACCACAAACTTTTGCTTAAAATAGGGACCAGCTTCTCTTTTGAATATTTTATTACTTGTCACGGTAGTGTTTTGTGAGGAGTGGGGAAATTTGGATGTGTCCTAGATATGGAAGTTGGATCCTGAGAAGTGGGGCTTCCTGTCCCCTTCCTTTCCTTCCCTCTTCTTTTATGAAATTGATTGTTTATAGGAACCATATTTCTAAAATAATTCACATATATTAGTCTTTCAGTAATACATTGGTGCACACAAGGTACAGGACTATGAGTCTAATTAATATCTTGTCTAGGGTGTGACCCTTAGTTTGGAGCATCTCCTATTTAATACATATATATATTGCCATGATTTGTACCTCAGTGACTAATAGGAATAATGTAATATAATGGTGAACTAATAGCCTCTTCAATACAAAAGTTATAACATAGTGCCAAATATTACTAAAAGAAAATGTGGGTTCATATTATTATTTATTATATTTGTATTGCTGTAGCATCTAGTTGCCCTAGTCAAGGACCCCATTGTGCTAGGCACCGTACAAACATAGAACAAGCAAGCAAATACAAAAAAAAAAGATGGTCTTTACCCCAAGAAGTTTACAATCTAACTGTAAGTCAAGAGACAACAGATGGATAAAGATAGATGGTCGAGGACAATGAGACAATATTGGTCAGCATGATAGGCAGTTGTCTCAGCATATGTATTTATATCTGTTTGTCAGAGACAGATATGTAAGTTTCTTGGTATTAATAGAATTTATTATCTGAACTAGATGTAATTAAACTTACATTTTGCATGATAGCAATGCAAGTCTCCATCCTAGTAACTGTTCAGAATGTGATATAGTAACTGCACTGAACATGCTACATTGATCCAATCATAAAGGAATCACTAAGCTTTTACACATTTTTACTTGATGTACATAAAGGAAAAATAAGATTAAGTTGCTGTCTCCAGCATTCAGCAGGTTCCTTAATTACTTTAACTATCTGTATAACACTGAAACTCCCAGATGTGAAGGTCTCTTCGGGAAAACTGCAGTTAATTAAATACATATTGGTGAGTCCTGGCTTCTTGAGGACACTCTGGTATCTCATTCCTTCTTTGTGTCTCACCATTTGTATTTATAGTGGAAGCAGCTAACAACCTTGTTTGCTGAATTGGGTACATGAAATATGGATAGTAGGTTTGACCAGTCCCATACTCATCGAAACTCTGGCCAACCTTTCCAATATGGCCATGGGGTCTGGCCCTCATTCTTAATAAAATCAGAGTTAAAATCAAAGTTAAACTAAGAGGTAGGTTACTGTACTATTGTAAACTGGTGGCATTATTTATTTATTTTTCCCCATATGCCTTTTATTGTCTTTAGGTAAACAAGATATGTGGTCATCCTGTGAGAAAGCTGACACTCTCCCCCAGTTATTCTGATCAGAACAAAGATAATCAAGGGATGAAGATGTCTGCAAGAGACCATGAAGAAACACTGGCCAACAGAAGAAAGTAAGACATTAGTTTTACAGCCAGAAAGAAAGAAGAAAGTAAGCCATTAATTTTACAACAGAATAGATTGTATTCAATATAACGAAATGCATTAGTAGAGAATAAGAGATTGAAAAGAATGCAGCTTTACATTTCAATGGTACTACATGCTCTATTACATTTGTAAAATGTAGTCATTTTATAAGACCTAGATTTTTGTTTACTGAAATAATGGATGAATGGGCAGGGACATTTACTGTGGTTTAAAGCATTTAGAAGATTTGACAGTGCTTCTAAAACATCAGCTATATCTGGGTGGGTATTAATGTGTGTGTGTGAGAGAGAGAGAGAGAGAGAGAGATTGAGAGAGAGAGAGAGAGAGAGAGAGCCTGCATAATATAGTTTAATTGGCATAGCAATGTGGATTACCAAATGTGTCAAAACGATTGTCCCTTTTAAAGTCCCTATTTAGCCTGTTTGTATGATGAGGCTAGTGCTGAACTGATCAGAAATAGGAGAGGGAATGGGTTTGTTCTCACATACTCTCCTTTCTAGTGCACTAAATGCAATAACTGAGAACCTACGGCTAAATCCAGAAGTCCTTACTCAGGCTAAAGTCCTATTTATGACTATGGGGCTTATGTGTATGTAACCCTAAGTTAAAATAAAGTAGAGACTTCAAGATTTGACCCTTAATTATGACTGGTGCAGAATGATTACTCCTCTTCCTCCTGCAAAGAGTAGCGGTAGTATTGTAGACAAAGCCCTGGCTGGGATGATTTAATTGGGGATCGGTCCTGCTTTGAGCAGGGGGTTGGACTAGATGACCTCCTGAGGTCCCTTCCAACCCTGATATTCTATGATTCTATGATTCTATTGCAGTAGCACCTAGAGGCCACAGACAGGCTATCAAAGTATCATAGGAGGAGCCCCATTGTGCGTGGTTTTACACAAACACACACAAAAAAACCCCACAGCTCCTGCCCTAAAGAGCCTACAGTCTGTAAATGTAGCAGTAGGTAGGTGGACAACCCCTACTACTGGCTGTGTTGTCTTGTGGGTTCATAAGGAGGAGACAGCATCTGGAGTCTAAGGAGTAAAGCTTTATTAGAACTAAATGGTTACATAAGACGAAGAAGAGCCATATGGTCCTAGCTGCTTCCAACAAGTTCTCACAAGCATGTGCTCTGTTCTTAAATACTCTTAACACTGGCATGCATGCAGTAATGTTCCCCTCTGGTGTTATCTGGACCGGTGATCTGCTAGGTCACGCCAATCCTTGACTCTGGGAACCAGCCTTACCCTGCTCTGCTGTAGAACCCCCACTCCCGGGCTGTTCATGCACAGTTCTGGCAAGTAAGCTGCTCCCAGCTACTTGCAGCCAAATGACACTAGCCAATATCACTTTAACGTGCCTTGTGTGGTCGCAGCGCAGCACTGGGAGAGAGCTCTCCCAGCGCTCTAAAAAAACCACCTCCACGAGGGGCACAGCTACCAGCGCTGGGATTGCAGCTACCAGCACTGGTGCACTGTCTACACTGACACTTTATAGCGTTGAAACTTGCTGCACTCAGGGGGGTGTTTTTTCACACCCCAGAGCCAGAAAGTTGCAGCACAGTAAATTGCCAGTGTAGACAAGCCCAAGGCCTAACAGATTCTTTTGTTGATGCCTAGGCCAGCATCCTTTGTTCCTGTGAGGCTGGGCTGGGTTTGTCCCATATTTGCCCCAATGAGTTGTGAACTGCCTCTCTGTTCTTGGAGAGTTTTTTGCCTGGGCTTGCTTTAAGCCATGAGGATACATTTTCAGCCTCATAACTATATACATGAAATTATAATGTATAACATTACTGTAACAATTACTATAACAACCATGCTCAGTGCATCATGAGCCTTCCAGAGACATCAACATGACAAACTTTGCATTGGATACCACACAATCATTTTATAAAGATTAACATGGGGGTGTAGGGTGTTCCCCAGAGGTACAGAGGGTCACACACACACACACACACACACACACATGGAAAATAACCAGATTTTTTATTTCTTTTAGGAAGTGTCTGCTGAAATCATAGGTGAATCTTTTACTTTGGCATCTTTTCCCTTTTCCCTCAGTTTGCCCTGAAAAGGAAGTGGGAGCCAATAGGAGGCGTTATTTCCATTTCTGGTTCCTGGAGAAGAGAAGGCACCTACAGGCTTAGCTGGCAGGCCAAGCTGCTGCCAGCCTCAAAGTGTTCTGGGTAGTGATGAGAGAAAGCAGAGCTTGAGAAGAAGGCCTTGCTGGTATTTGTATTTTGTGTGAGGAGAAAGAGATGCAGAGCAACTGGCTGCTTCAGGTAGCATAGGATCCCCTCTATTGCTTTTTGCAGGACATTGATTAGGTTGCTGCTTGCAATCTGCTCTTTCTCATTTTGCGTCTTAGGCAAGGCACACAATTCCTGGCTGTTTCCCCTAACAGTGACCCTAAGGGATACTACCGTATATTCCCTAGAATGTCATTTAAGCAAGGGCCAGTGAATTGAGTGAGAGTTACTGGTTCTCACAACAATATCTGTATTATTGTATTGATAGAGAAGTAGGAAATGTAATTAAATTCTGATGCATTTCTCAACTCAAGCTAATTTTGTTGAGAACCTGTGCATCCTTTCAAGTGCTGAGATACCACAATGACAGGCACAGTTTAAGAACCTGAACTGAATAGAATAAAATAGGACTGTGGTAACTTTTCTTATAAGAGCCACCACTGTTACTTGACATAAGTCCACTATTTATTACCTGTTTTTTTTTAAAGCATTATTAACATGTCAGGATTTTCTCTTTGTGTGTGAACAGTCACCTAGTTTCTAACTGTAATTAGATGGGAAACTCTCAAACATTTCATTGTGTGCACCACAACTTAACAGAGATTGTCTTGCGGACCACCTTACTTCCCATCCGCTACCACGTGAACTACCTCCTATCATAGTCATGAGAATATAATGTTCCCATGGCAATAACAGCAGTTGCTTACATGGAAATGTTATATCAGTAAAGTATATTTAAAAACTGTTTTGCAGTTGCTCCCATCTCTGCAGGGAACTCCTGTTTCCTATCCTCCTGTGTACTTATGGCTACTTGTAGAGCAGCTGAGACAGTTCATTTTCATTGTCTTCAGCTGCTTTTTGCAGACTTTGGCTGAGGGCTAGTGTTATGGCTAGTATTGGATCAATGTCCTAGGTATCATTAATAACAGGTATTTTAAAATCTTTACTAGTGTTGTAGTTTCCTAACAGTGCTTTTGATACCGAATAATCCCGAGGTAAATAAAGCATAATTTACTAACCATAAAACTGAATATTAACATATTTTCTAAACAATTCGCTTTATATCTTTACCACTAAACATGTATAGCAGCTACATGTTACAGAGTGGTAAGGGACGAAAACAGTCAAAAATGAACATTTCCACAGCTTTTTCAAATAAACAGATAAGAAAGGTCTGTAGCTTCTGCTAACTATGATTACACATTTGTGCTCAGCTGCCTATAATGATGTCTTGTCTAGAAAAAGATGATTCAAAAACTGACATTTAAACCCTATGCTCTTCTGCCTGTTTTGGTGAGACATCTAGAGAAGTTGAAATCCATTATTATTTCTGTATTAAGTGATGCTTTGCCTCAGGACATATTTACTAATACACTGAAAAATTGTCCTTTCTCAACAACTTGTCAAAAATACACTAAAAGCTGTGTACATTTCCATTTCTGTATTGTGCATGGATTGATTGTGGTGCATTTGCTATTATGACAATTATGTCAGTGAAGCCAGACACTCACTGTGCTCTGGAATGAACTCACATAGAAGAATGATAAAGACAAAAACACCACATCACTCGGGGGCGAACACTTTTGACAGAATGAAAAGTATCTGACCTCTCAGTCCTCGTCCTCAAAGGAATCCTGCACAACGCCTTCAAAAGATGAGTCAGGGATCTTATGCCAGGTCTACACTTCAGAATTAGTCAACGTAACTTAAGTTGACTTATCATAAACTGCTGTAATTAAATCGCTTGTGCATGTTCACACAATGCTCCTTGTGTCAGCAAAGTGCTTCCACAGTTGGTGCTCTCACACCAACAGAGAGAGCTGTGCATCATAGGTAGCTATCCCAGTGTACAAATTGCCATCTTCTGCTGCTAGCAGTTCTGTGAATGTGTCGCAGTACATCATGGGGGCGGGCTCACCATCCCATGATGCAATTTTTTCTGTCCCATTATTCTTTGGGATTCCAACTACGTTTTGTGCGGTTTTTCAGCTGCCCCTGTAAACTTTGTGCCTGTCATCTCTGCCTGAAAACATGGATCCTGTGCTGCTCTCCAGTCTTGTGATGAGCCTTATGAACACAACGTGGCTGATCCTGCAATATTTGATGAGCTGTGAATCTGTTCAGGAATCCATGGTCCCTGCCCTGCTGTGTGTCATGGAAAGAACATTTTAGATTGATGTTGGCATTCACAAAGCAGCTGCACATGGTGGACTGTCGCTGTTGGGCTCAGGGTTTCCAGAGCAGCCCTTCTGTTGCTTACTTCTGGATTCCCCAAATGTTAACCTATATTGTCTCTTTCTGCAAGGTGAAAGGAGGGGGCCCGCCCTAGTGAAATTGCCAAGATTTACCAGAGATTTCTCTATGCCTTTCAAGAAACCTTTTAGAACAGACTAGATCTGTTCTCCCTTGGGAGAAAATGGATACAGCCCTTTGCTCAAAAGATTCACACCAAGGCAGTTATTTTCCAAAACGAAGTGTTTTCTTTATTTAGTGTAATTAATCTTCCCTAGTACAGTTAATCTAAACCTGAATTAAAACATAAACATAAATCCCTTAGCACAGGTATACAAGTTAAAGTACCGAAGACTGTAATGTCATACAGTTGAAAAGGCTCAAGTGATTATGTTCTGCACATGTTGATCAGTCATATGTAGGACACAGACAGCAATCTTAATAAACTCTAAGCTTTATACATAGTAAGTAACATGAACATACTCACCACAGACACTCATCTTTATTATCCCAAGCATACACATTCATTAACCATATTTCTATTCTATGACTAGCATGCTTATTCTCTATAGTCTTCCTCCATCTGCTATGTCTTAAGGATCCCTTTCTGCTCTGTCCCAGCATCCCGTGGCTATTGCCGTCACTCTGTGGATGCCTCTGCTGCAGGTTCTGATTTCTTTGCTCTTTTAGGTTTCTTCTGATCTCTTCTGGGTCTTCTTCTCCTGCTCCTATCTTGACTAATTTTTGCCTGCCTGCTCTCTGCCTTATATATAGTTTTTGGCCTGTTCTGATTGGCTTATTTTTCAATCCTAGTATTAGCATATCTATCCTCCAATCACCTTCAGACCACCTCCGATTGGTCCATACTTATAGACCAATCATTCCTGCTGAATCTATGGTGACCTTCACATGTTTTTGGACTGAGTATGCCTGACTAACCCTTCCCAATGGAAAAGTGTGTGGCAATAGCTATGTGGAAGTTGGCAACTCCAGACTGCTACCAGTCAGTTGCAAATCAATTTGGAGTTGGGAAGTCTGCCATGAGCACTTACTGGAGCTCCCCTTCCGTGCTTCAGGCACACCAGAGCTGGACTGCTTGAAGTAGAGTCAAAAAGAGGTCCTGGCTTCTCATGCCACCGGATGTCCCTCTCGCCTATCCCCCATCCTTCTCCAACTCAACCTCCTCATCCACCATTTCATTCATGGGGTTGTCTCTGGGGCTACTGGAGACAGCGGCCAGTGAAGTATCCATGGGGCTTTTGGCTGTGGAGGTGCCACTCCTTGTAAAAGTGGCATGTTTTCAGTGCCACACCAGAGTGAGAGTTGGCCTCCCTTATTTTCTGGTATACCTGCCTCAGCTCCTTGATCTTAGCACAGCACTGCTGCATGTCTCTTTTGTGCCCCTTCTCCTCCATGCCAAAAGCAATTTGCTTGTAGGTTTAATGGTCCTACAGCTGGATCAGAGCTGTGATTGCACAGACTCTTCTCCCCACAGACCCAATGGATCCAGCAGCTTCAGAGTACTCCAGGTGGGAGCTCATTTGCTGTGGGAAGCTGCCATGGTCAGCTGGGAAGATTCTATGTGGCTTCTCCACACGGAGCAAAAAGGAAGTAGAATTTCAAAAATTCCTGCGGCTTTAAAGGAGGAGTGCATGCCTCTGTAGCTGGCTGCAGGGCTGTGGAGTTGAAACTGCTGACTAGAGTGGTTATGATGGTCCTTGTGATACACCTAGAGGCTGCCTAGGACAACATAAGTAAGTGCCGTGTCTACACTGACACTGTGTTGCTCTAACTTCGTCGCAAAAAGCTCTGTGCCGCTGGTCAAGGTGGTTTTATGATCTCAGCATCGCAGGGGAGTTAAATTGGTGGGAGGAACATTGCAGTGTGTACACCTCCATTGTTTTGTTGACAAAACTGTGTTGTGTAGGCAAGACCTAAAATTAATAACTTCGCTAGACACTAAAAATTATGGTCTTAATAAATGATTTCAGAGTAGCAACTGTGTTAATCTGTATTCGCAAAAAAGAAAAGGAGTACTTATGGCACCTTAGAGACTAACAAATTTATTTGAGCATAAGCTTTCATGAGCTACAGCTCACTTCATTGGATGCATTCAGTGGAAAATACAGTGGGGAGATTTATATACATAGAGAACATGAAACAATGAGTGTTACCATACACACTGTAACAAGAGAGTGATCACTTAAGGTGATCTATTACCAATGGGGAAGCAGGGGGAAACCTTTTGTAGTGATAATCAAGGTGGGCCATTTCCAACAGTTGACAAGAATATCTGAGGAACAGTGGAGCATGGAGGGGGGGAATAAACATGGGGAAATAGTTTTACTTTGTGTAATGACCCATCCACTCCCAGTCTCTATTCAAGCCTAAGTTAATTGTATCCAGTTTGCAAATTAATTCCAATTCAGAATTGGAATTGCTCTCATTGGAGTCTGTTTTTGAAGTTTTTTTGTTGAAGAATTGCAACTTTTAGGTCTGTAATCGAGTGACCAGAGAGATTGAAGTGTTCTCCAACTGGTTTTTGAATGTTATAATTCTTGACATCTGATTTGTGTCCATTTATTCTTTTACGTAGAGACTATCCAGTTTGACCAATGTACATGGCAGAGGGGCATTGCTGGCACATGATGGCATATATCACATTGGTAGATGTGCAGATGAATGAGCCTCTGATAGTGTGGCTGATGTGATTAGGCCCTATGATGTTGTCCCCTGAAGAGATATGTGGACACAGTTGGCAACGGGTTTTGTTGCAAGGATAGGTTCCTGGATTAGTGGTTCTGTTGTGTGGTGTGTGGTTGCTGGTGAGTATTTGCTTCAGGTTGGGGGGCTGTCTGTAAGCAAGGACCGGCCTGTCTCCCAAGATCTGTGAGAGTGATGGGTAGTCCTTCAGGATAGGTTGTAGATCCTTGATGATGCGTTGGAGAGGTTTTAGTTGGGGGCTGAATGTGATGGCTAGTGGCGTTCTGTTATTTTTTTTGTTGGGCCTGTCCTGTAGTAGGTGACTTCTGGGTACTCTTCTGGCTCTGTCAATCTGTTTCTTCACTTCAGCAGGTGGGTATTGTAGTTGTAAGAATGCTTGATAGAGAGCTTCTAGGTGTTTGTCTCTGTCTGTGGGGTTGGAGCAAATGCTGTTGTATCGTAGAGTTTGGCTGTAGACAATGGATTGTGTGGTGTGGTGATTTCAACAATTTCCATCCCACCATCAACCTCAGCCTGGACCAGTCCACACAAGAGATCCACTTCCTGGACGCTATGGTGCTAATAAGCGATGGTCACATAAACACCACCCTATACCGAAAACCTACTGACCGCTATTCCTACCTACATGCCTCCAGCTTTCATCCAGACCGCACCACACAATAAGATATTATCCCATCCACCCTGTATCACTAGATAAAAATGTTGCTTTTTAAATGACTGACTATATATAAACACTTTCATTTGTTTAATTTCAAATGGATAACACTTAATAGAACTTATTCTTCGTACTCTTTTTAAGCATCATGTTGTCCAAGCATACAACATTTGTAGCATAATTTTGTCGGTCTCCAACCACCATGCAGAAGTTAACAGGGTGATGATTGTTGGTTTGCAGGACAGTGAGTATTGCACTGATGACTTTCTGCATATCTGTAGGTCATAGATAATCCTACATATTGTGAAATGTTGAATCATAATAAATACATATTTATATTTTCACAGCAGGTATAGGTCTTCCATTGAGAGATTTTCATTACACTAGCAAATAGTTTATAAAAATGAATATCATAGTCCAGTTACCAATTAAGTCCAGTAATTTAATAGGTATTTATTGTTTTATTTCAGTACAGAATCTGTCCCCAGTTCTAGACACCTTGACAATTATTTAAAATGAATACATAAAATAATACTCCAACAGCATAACGTGCCACAAAAATTGAAATAAATTATCCAAACAGTAATTTAAACAGCCAAAAAATACCACCTCTACCCTAAACCTGTCTTACCCAAAACTTCATCTGCCCCATGAACCACAACCAATAGATAGTCTTTGTATAATAGTTTGAAGTCAGTAAAGAGGTACTGGATATTCAGCACTTCTGAAAATCAGGCCACTTATGTAGGTGGCTACGTATTGGAGTTAGGAGCTTACCTTTAGACATACATTTTTGGAAATATTAGCTTATTGGTACACATGTAGTGTTGCCTCCCATAGCAGTCATCTGTGATTTGGTTTGACTTTCAATGATTGAGTAGTATTTCTTTCAAAGCAACTAATGTATCTGAAAAGGATATTGTTGAATTGATTAATAAATGAGAGCCAATAGAGTGACAAAAAGTGGCACATTCTTTGATTTCTTGTAACAATGTGGCAGTTTGATTGCTCATTTTTATTAATTGATTATGTTAATTATTTTACCTGTGTTTGTTTGTTTTGGTAGAGAATTTATGAACAGTCTACGGCTGTACAAGACATTCTATGGAGGTCTGGCTGATCAGCTGTGTATCAGTGAGTTAGCAGCTGCTGATGGACTAGCATGTTGGAATGGTGAAGATGTTGTAAAAAGGTACTTTTTCATTCTGTGATCTATAAGAGAACTTTTATATATTTTTCAGAGTTATGTTTTTCTCCAAAATTCTTTCCTGATGGAGTAACATTAAATATTATTCTCTCCCCTGCCCTCCCACGCGCTGTTCCTCAGACGTTCTTGTTAACTGCTGGAAATGGCCCACCTTGATTATCACTACAAAAGGTTCCCCCACCCCACCCCACCACCGCTCTCCTGCTGGTAATAGCTCACCTTACCTGATCACTCTCGTTACAGTGTGTATGATAACACCCATTGTTTCATGTTCTCTGTGTATATAAATCTCCCCACTGTATTTTCCACTGAATGCATCCGATGAAGTGACCTGTAACTCACAAAAGCTTATACTCAAATAAATTTGTTAGTCTCTAAGGTGCCACAAGTCCTCCTTTTATTTTTATTAAATATTTGTACTTTGGTTAAGAACCATTGCTTCAGGAAAATCTTCCCCTCTATCAAGCTTAAAATCTGTCCACATCTGTTTTGAGAAAATACGAGGCTTAGTGGTCCTCCAACATTTTTAGCTCCCCATTTCTGAAGCTCACCTGGCTGGTACTTGTGTTGGCTATTGAGAAAAGGTAGGTTTAACATTTGCAAAATTAAGTCAGAGGCAGGGGAACAGGATTTTTGTTTGAGAATGTGAAAGTTCAAAGCTGGTATGTTTAAATGTTCCCTTTAGTATTAACAGCATGGCAACAAACTTCAGCCATTCCCTTTAGTATTAACAGCATGGCAACAAACTTCATTTAAAACTTTATCTGATTGTAAGGAATAAAATAATCCTTAATGAATGTGGTTTCTCATGAGAATGCTAAAAGTTAAGATACTAAGATAAACTGTTTTAAAGGTCAAACAAATAAATTATTGAACAGTGGATTGGGAGCAGTTATTCACTAGCAATGTTACAGAACTGATCTTAGCAAACTACCAAGCTCCTGGAAGTAAACTTTAGAACCAATATATTTCACAGTTCACAAAACAAAAGCATTTTGGATGACAAGAAGGTTTTCAGGAAGCTATAGTTAATTACTTGTGCTCTATTCTTTCAGTTCCCAAAACAGGCATAATTTTGAACAGAAATTATTGGGGGGACTTTGGGGCTGTAGCACTAGCTAATTCATTATAACTATTGTTTGTCAGTATCTTCTGTTTTTAATACCAAGCTGAGCTAGTACAAAGCGGAGTGACATTATCTTTTTATCTCTATATCCAAAGTCTATATGTGATGTCTTGTTCAGGTCACCCAGAACGGTGTTACCACTCTTCTTCAGCAAGAGTGAGCTTTGCTGCTGCTAAACTGCGTGTCAGCATCCTGACACATGTGCATGTCTGTCTTGCCAGCAAAGTGCTCAGGACTTTGACAGTCCCAACCTTGACTTGCAGGTAACAGTCAGTGAGCTCCAATTCCTGTGTTCCCCAGATACGTCTTTCTACAGTGTCCAGGCCTCTCACTGGATGCTCACAGACATTGTTAAGTTCTCTGCCTCCAAAGAGATGGAGGACTCACCAGCCTGTTAGCTCAGCTGAGGACATTACCCTTCAGTTTAATAACAGAGCACTGAGAAGGTTTTGTAATAAAACAAGCATAAGTTTATTAACAAAGGACAAATATTTAAGTAGTAATAAGTAAGAACAAAAGACACATATGTTTATCAGTAAAACAACACAAAACACACTTTCTAGTGACTAAAACTTAACTTCAGCAAGTTACAGGCTTTGTCTAAGCAGGTTTCTCATCTATAATCAGTTCCAGCTACTCTTCATTTTCAGGGCAAAAGGGTCCACTTTTTATGAGCTCAAAGGGCTCCCCACCTTTGTCCCTTGGTGATGGATGCCAAAATGGCTTTCTCTTTCTGCTTATATTTCCCAAAGTCTATTGTCTCTGTTTCAAGAGTCAGGAAGGCTTCTTGGGAGTGTGCAGGCACCATCCCCTGCTGTGAGTGTTAAGTGGTCTTCCCCCATATTTGTTTAGCTTGGTGGCTTCATTTACCTTACATGTAGATATACTTTTCATTGTCTTCTGAGGTATTACCTGGTTCCGTTTACATTGGGCACACAGAAAAACAGGTGAAACAACATTCCTTTGACTAAAACAGGCTGGACTCCCTGCTTGCAAAACACCTTTGCATTACATCTATAATCCTTTGTAGAGCACCTGTATGAACATCATGCAACAGTAGTAATGACAAGTGTGTTATAAGTGTGCATATAATAATAATAATAATGTTATAATGGACATGACACCTTTTAGATTTAGATTATGATAACAGTGTGTTGGTGCAGTGCGTGTGTCAGGCCTGATGTGAGTTATGGTATGTCCTCTGCAAGTTTTCATTGAGGGGCTCTCCCGCCCCCAAGTCACGTTATAAGACAGTAGGAAGTCAGAGAGATCATTGATAATGTGGGGTGTACTCTACAGTACTTGTATCTTTAAATATGTTGCAGAGGAGCATTAGGGGGAAGTCTAGAAGGTGAAGGTTGTCAACCTTACTTAATGGACAAATGGGGTTGGTAGTGGATCCCAGGCCTTCCTATTCCACTAGGCTCTGGCCCAGGGCCTTGTCAGGGTTACCAAATATCCAGTACCCAAAGGTGCCTTAAAGCTGCCTGCCTGGGCAACTTCCTACCACCCACTCTCTTGTCAAAATCTTGCAGTCTGTTGCAAAGTAGTGAAAGAAAAGGTACCAACTGAACCTTCAGCCCCCCTGGGCTTGGCAGGCTCTTCCTCTCCAGGAGAAGGTTTCTGCATTGCCCTTCCTCAGGAGTGATCAGGGTTGGCTCTTTCTCTGCCTTGTCTGATTCCCTCTTAAGCTCTGCCTACAGCTGGAGCATGGTGTACAGGTGCAGCTGGAGGGTGTCACTTGGGCACAGAGTTGCTCCTTAATCCCTTCAGTTCTAGTGCTGGGTTTATACATCCTGTCACACACCCCTTTCTAGAAAACACACTCATGCTTAAGTTTACTTGCATGACTAGTCTCACTCCTCCGATGAAGTGCGCTGTAGCTTATGCTCAAATAAATTGGTTAGTCTCTAAGGTGCCACAAGTACTCCTTTTCTTTTTGCGAATACAGACTAACACGGCTGTTACTCTGAAATGGGACTACTGTGCTTGCAGGATTGAAGCGTCAGAGCTCATTGAAGTCAATTGGAGTTTTTCTCCCAAATCTTCACAAAAATCATCTTTGCTAGAATATAAATATTTGCCTTCTCCGTCTCAGGTTCCATCCCGACCCTGCCTCCTGTGTCTTTTGTCCTCCTCTTGCTCTTCAAAGGAAGTAGAAACGATTCAATCAAATTTATGAATGCGGATGTGAAATGAGAAATGTTATACTACTTAAAGATTTACCAGTGGCTGAATTTTGATGTCATTACTTTATACTGCTTATTGTTTTACCCTTAGTATTACTTACACATCCCCCTCCAAATGTAATCAAGTATTATAATACACATTTACTGTTACTCTTTAAAATGAAATATGAATAGATCCTTTAGTTTTTACACTGGATAAAACTCCCAATTAACTCCTGACTCAGAACCAGACCTGCTCCTGCCTTTCTCTGACTCTTGGCAACCCGGCTCCAACCTCAGCTCTGATTCCTGACTCCAAGTCTGTCTAGCATTCGGACTCTGACCACTAGGCCTGACTTCCATTCTGACCTGGTCTGCTGACAGCATGTGTGTACACACATGCACACTTATCCACTGAAGTCAGTGGAGATGAACACTGTGGTTCAGGATGGAATCTGGCCTGGAGCTGTGGAGCAGCTAAGCTGGAGCAACGCTTGGAGAGATGAGCACAGGGAGGCAGAGAGTCTATGGGTGCATGCATTGAGCAGCCAGAAAGCTGCTGCTGATGGGGTTAAGACTGGCCTGTTGCCTTCCTCAACCTGATCCTATTATTTTTTTACAGTTTGGGACAAAAAATTTTTTAAGTACATCAGAAGCAGGAAGCCTGACAAACAATCAATGGGGCCACTGGACGATCAAGGTGCTAAAGGAGCACTCAAGGAAGTTAATGCCATTGCAGAGAAGCTAAATAATTTTTTGCATTGGTTTTCACTGCCGAGGATGTGAGAAAGATTCCCACACCTTACATATTCCTCTTAGGTGACAAATCTGAGGAACTGTCCCATATTGAGGTGTCAATAGTGGAGGTTTTGGAAAAAGGCTGAAGGAACTCAAATATGAAATTGCAGAACTACTAACCATGGCGTGTAACCTATCACTTAAATCAGCTTCTGAACCAGTTGTCTGGAGGATAGCTAGTGTAACACAATTTTTTTTAAAAGGCTACCAGGTGATCCTGACAAGTACAGGCTGGTAAGCCTAACATCAGTACCAGGCAAATTGGTTGAAACTATAGTAAAGAACAAAATTATCAGGCACACAGATGAACACAATTTGTAGGGGAAGAGTCAACATGGCTTTTGTGAAGGGAAATCATGTCCCATCAATCTATTAGAATACTTTTGAGGGGGTCAACAAACATGTGGACAAGGGTGAACCACTGGACTTGGACTTTCAGAAACCTTTGACAAAGTTCCTGAGCAGAGGCTCTTAAACAAAGTAAGCAGTCATGGGACAAAAGGCAAGGTCCTCTCATGGATTAGTCACTGGTTAAAAGATAAGAAGTTAAGGGTAGGAATAAATGGTCAATTTTCACAGTGGAGAGAGATGAATAGTGGGGTCCCCCAGGGATCTGTGTTGGGACCAGTGCTGCTTAACATATCCAGAAATAATCTGGAAGAAGGGGTAAACAGTGAGTTGGCAAAGTTTGCAGACAGTTAAGTCCAAAGCAGACCGGGAAGAGTTACAAAGGGATCTCACAAAACTTGGTGACTGGGCAACAAAATGGCAGCTGAAATTCATTGTTGATAAATGCAAAGTAATGCACATTGGAAAAGATAATCCCAGTTACAAATAGAAAATAATGGGGTCTAAATAAGCTGTTACCACTCAAGAAAGAGATCTTAGAGTCA